TCTCTCCTGAAGGAAAGGAAAGGGTGTTGCTTTTGTTCAAGGACAGGCTGGACGTGCACATGGTGGGCATGTTGTGAGCGGAGCCGGCTGGAGCCGGGGTCAGACTAGATGGCCCGGGAGGCCCCTTCTGACTCGCTCTGTTTCCATGTTTCTAACTGCAGGGGCCTGGGCGAGCCCAGCCATTAAAATGCCGGGGTTCAAGGCGACTCAATCTTCCCCGCAACTCCTGGTGGTTCATTCTCGCCATTGGTAAGGAGACTCTGACAGTCCCTTGTGGGCAGGACCAGCTGGGCCCTTGCATGCATCCACCAGGGCTCTTGTGTGCCGGCATTCCAGGTGCCAGGCATGGAGAACTGGGCTAGAAAACCCCTTCTCCTAAAGCATTCCTCCCCCCCCCCCACCCCGAGTCCTACCCATCTTTACATCCCTCCAAGCCTACAGAATCCTGCACTGTCTGAGCGAGTTTTTCTGCTTTGGCTAAGTGGAGCCATTCCCAGCCCGTACTTTGGAAATACGTAGCGGCTTCGGATTTAAAGGCAGCTTTTCCATTTCTTCCCCCGAAGTTTAGGACGGCCGGCTGCTTCTGCCTCCTGCCACTCCCAGTGTTATTTACAAGACTGCACTTCTGCAAGGGTGAATGACAGACCAGAACATGCCTATCACTCCAGACGACAGGACCTGTTCGTACTCAAGCTATATCTGTGCTCCAACTCCAGGAAAAAGTGCTGATGTCAGAACCTTACAATGCAGAACCTGGAGACCTAAAGAAGCATTTAAAAAATAATTCAAAAAATGGTGTGGGGTTTGTTTGCACATCAGCAAAGCACTGAACCGGCAGAAAAATCTGGAGTGGCTTTTCTCAGCTCATGGAGCACTTAAGGGCTTTTTTTTGTAAAATAAAAATGGGCATCATCCTTAAACCGTGACTTTAGTTCTCATCTGCCTTGCATGGTCTGTGCAAAGACTGGTCATGAGTATTTTTGCAACTTCTAAGAAATGCCTTGACAAATTCACAAGAAAATATAATCTTGCATGGATACGGCGGAGGCAGGTGAAGAGTACTTTTGGGATGGCTACCTCTACAGTCGAGGAGCTGGTTAGTCACAATTTCTCACCGGGTTTCAGCAATGCTGCCCTGGAAAGGCCTGGAAAGGTTGGACGGCTCAGAAACCTGATGCCTGGGGCAGCCCTTGAAGGCAGTCTGCAACCATTAATCGGCGTTGCACCAAGAGCTGCAAAATGGTTGACTAGAAACAGAGGGTTCCTTTCCATTTCAGCTGGGCTGGGCTGCTCTCCAGAAACACGTGTCCAAAGCCTGCTTTGGTGCTTGGAAATAATTACGTATTTCATGCATTCCGGCCACAGTTTCAGCTCCCGTTTTTCCTCAGCGAAACAGAAGCTTCCAAGAAGGGCTGTGGCCGACAAGGCATCGAGTGCGATGGGGTAAATTGGTGCCCTGCCACAGGAGGGGGCTGCACCTGGCAGACTCTTGAATTTCAGTTTGAAGGAATGAACACTCAGAGGAAGGTCTACACTCCTAGACTTCTGCGGCTTCATTGGATCAGTGCCCCAGTTCCTGCAGTCACTAATGGCCGTCCACTCCTGTGTAGAGGCAAACTCAGCTACAAAACCATGTACAGACACTATTGTAGCCTGCTAGTCATATACACCAACACAGAGTGTTGCGTTTCCAGATAATGTTAGTACAATAGCATCATAGAATCATAGAATAGTGGAGTTGGAAGGGGCCTTGAAGGCCATCTAGTCCACCCCCTGCGGTTGCAGGACACCAAGTCACACCATCCCACTCAGAGGGCTGCCCAGGTTCTTCTTGAGTGTCTCCAGCATGGGAGAGCCCCCCACCTCTCCAGGCAGCTGGTCCCACTGCTATATTGCTCTGACTGATGTCCAGCCTGTGCGGTGTAGTGGTTAAGAGCATGGGACTGTGACTCAGCGGATCCGGGTTCGAGTCCCCACTTGGCCATGGAGCCCACTGGGTGACCTTGGGCCAGTCACAGACTCTCAGCCCAGCCTACCTCACAGGGTTGTTGTTGTGGGGAGAAGATGGAGGAGGAGAATGATGTAAGCTGCCTTGAGCCCTTTGTAGGAAAAAGGCAGGATATAAATCGGAAAATAAATAAAATAAATAAATAAATCTGGGTTGTCACACCTTGAACTGATTATTCGTGTCCTACACTCTGGGATCAGCGGGAAGTGAGCTTGACTTTCCCCTTTGTGGCAGCCTGTGAGGTCCTTCTAGAGCAGACCTGGGCATTGTACAGGCACGTCCAGTCCAATGGCTGACCCAGACTGGCCCGCATGAGGTCACTGACAAATTAAAAGTCAATGCAAATATATATCGTCGTAATATATTGCGCTATATAAGTAACATTGAATTGAATTTATTGCTTTTCGTGTAATGTTAATGTTTTGTGAATATTCATTAAATAGTGTTGTTCTGTGTTCCACATTTTCGTTGTATCATTGTAGTGTTTCATTTACTGTTTTTACAGAGATATATATTGAGCAGAGCTGTCAGTGTATTGGTCCGGCTCTTAACAGCTGTCAAAGTTTCTCATGTGGCCCCACAGGAAAATTAATTGCCCACCCCTGTTCTAGAGGGATCTCATGCCCCCCCTCAGTCTTCTCTTGATGTCTTTAGACATGACATAATGTTCTAAACTGATCAGAAGTACTGGTAACAATAGTATGGAAAACATTACTGATTGCTTTATTGATACATCAGTCTAGTAAATTCTTGACAGTTCAGGTCAGCCCTGTGTCTGCTTAAGCATGCAAATGTGTCTGACGGAGGAACCATTCAGGAAAACTGGTTTGACAACTACACTGCACAAGTGCTTGCGTCTGTGGAACTAGATGATTAAATGGGTCCATTCAGAAACACCTGGACATCTTTGTCTCTGCTCTTTGCAGCACACAGGTATTTCCCCACTCACAGTATTAACCTCCAGCAGCTTCTCAGTCCAGCTAAGAATTCCATCTTCTGAAAGGAACAGCGACGCTAAACAGTGACCTGGCTTGGAATTGGGGTGCTTTCTGAGAAAGGGGTGCAGGCATTTTTATAACACAAAGGCACTTATAAGCAACTTTTTTTTTAATATTGCGATTGATATCCTGCCTTTTTCCTACAAAGGGCTCAAGGCAGCTTACATCATTCTCCTCCTCCATCTTATCCGCACAACAACAACCCTGTGGGGTAGGTTGGGCTGAGAGCCTGTGACTGGCCCAAAGTCACCCAGTTGGCTCCATGGCTGAGCGGGGACTCGAACCCAGATCGCCTGAGTCCCAGTCCCACGCTCTTCACCACTACGCCACCCTGGCTCTCCCAGGATTTTTCTCCCAGGATTTATCTGAATTTCCCCTACAGACCCCATGACTTTCTTGGTCCCTTCCAGCTCTATTATTCCATGATTTTATGATTCTGTGATTCGAGGCCCTTTCATCGCTCAGTGGTGCCGAGAGCGCTTGCCTGGGAAATCTTGGAAAGCCAGGGAACTTTGGACCAGTCAGAGACTCAGTCCAATGTACCTCACAGGGTTGTTGTTGTGAAGTCAGAATGGGCCTATGTAAGTCCCTGTGGGTTTCCCAGAAGAGAAAAAAAAGCAGGATCTAAATGCGATACAACAACAACATTCACCCTCTTATCATGCTGGCTCCCATTTTGTGGATTTCTGACTTTTATGAAGTTTTCCCCTTCGAGAAATGTCTTTTCTACAGCTTCATACCTGTAGTATGAACATTTTCTATGAATGATTGATTGCCTAGGTTTTTAATGCTGCAAGGCACCTGGAATCTCAAAATTGGAAATAGACATAATAATAATAGTTATAGCAGCAGCAGTAATAGTAATATTGATAATCGTATCTGATGGTTTTTGTAATTTTGGCTTCACCTTTGGCCCGGCCCAGAGTCTGTCCTGAACGGAATTGAGTCCAAAATGCAAATGAGGGACAACCGGACTTAGTCTGGAGAAAACCGGATTAAAGTCGCACTGCATCAATTTCAAAACGATGAACTTGGCATTGTCCAATAAGACTGCAGATCTGCGTGGCTTTTTCTGGGGCTGTGGCCACTTGAGACCATGGGACTGGCTTTGGGGTGAGCACGTGCAAAGAATCCAGGAGCAGGGCTGCACTTGCGGGGCTGCAGAATGTTTATTAACCACTGCTTCCTCTCCTGCCTTTGACTGTGGATGATAGAATGCTGAACGACACAGAGAGGCGATGCCCCTGTCTGAAGTCTTCCTTGCAGTCTTTCCTGAATCTCTGGCCTGCCACTGCTAGATTTGAAGGACTTCTAGCCTGATCTAGCACATTCATCATGACATTACGGAATGTTTTGAAAAGTCACACATACCCCACTAAAGTCAAAATTAATTCAGTTTGCCAGCATCTCAGCCTGGATATTCTTCTGAATTCACGAGGCCCCACAGTCTGGTGAAACAAATCCTTGATTGTCCCAATTAAACCCTCTTAATCCAAGCCCGGAGCGTTAGTGTTCTGCCACGACAATCACAGTGTGCCCGGCCTTCTGGAGTGCCAAACTGGGACACACTTTTACTGAAGAAAGAGGGTGCCCACGAGTCCCCGTGCTGCTCATGGGCAGAGTTGACAGCCAAGGTGTGGAAGACATGGGGCAGCTTGGGCGGGAGCCATCGAAAGGAGACCCCATTGCGTGAAGGCACGGCAGAGACGGAATATCAAATGACAAACCGCCCGTGTTCAGTAACACACCGAGGAGCAATTAGCCCGCAGTCCCAAGGATGGTTAATTAGTGTCCCAGAGGGATCTGTCCTTGGTGCTGAACACGCATGGCTGTCATCGGCAATTAGGTTCGGGACAATCGCTTACCTTGCGTAACAGCAAGAAGCGAGTTTCTTCACGTTGCAGGGAAAGGGAAAAAAACCCAGAGGGGCAGATGGAGCGGCCTGCGAAGAATTGTCCCAAAACGTCATGCTGCTTATCTTGCGACCCTTCACAATGTCGGAGCGTTACATTGCCGTTGGTTTCTACCAAGGACCCGGTAAGTGCGTTTCATGTACTTTTCTATGTAGACAAACGAAACTGAGGTTGAGAAAGCAGATCAGGTGGAAGTGACTAAAGACCGCGCCGGTCGTCACAGTTCCGGTCTTCAAACATGAGCATGAGGTTCTGTTAGGGCTTATTTTATCAAGCTATACGGGACACTCTTAATCCGACTAGACAAAATGTCTTGCTTTTCCCTTTGTACAGCTGGAAAACTGTGTTTGTTGTCTTGAGGCTGTGCTAGAAAAGTGTTTTGAAATAATAATGGCATGGCTGTTTTGCAGTAAAATCCACAATCCCTCATCTTTCCATTTGACAACCATCTTTCTGTCCACACAGCTAAGCAAACATCTCTTGGAAAATAATGAACTGTTACTAAAAATTATTTCTGCCCATTCACTGTACATTCTGATGCTCAGCTTCTGGACCAACATATGTGATATTGCATCATTTACAATTTATTGACGTTGCCAGGTTGAGACATCCTAAAGTTTCCCATAATTGATCTATACCAGGCATGGAAAACCTCAGGCCTGGGAGCAAATTTTAAATTTATCGTATTACATCCATATTCTGCCTTTTTCCTTCTCCAAAGAGCCCAAAGCAGCTTATGTGGTTGGCCTCCCATTTAACCTTCAACAACAACCCTGCAAAGTAGATTAGACTGAGAGTCAAGGACTGGTCCAAAGTCCTGTAACCATCAGGGCCAAATGAAGACAAAAACCCAGATCTCCCGAGTTGCAGTCCACACGACTCTGCTGGGGCCCCAATCCAGCCTGTGGCTTTTCTCCAGCCACATGCCATTTGGTGCTTTCCCAGATTTTGTGCCATTCACCCTGTCCCTCCCCCCCCCACCCAAAAAAAAGAAGTTCAGGCTTAGCTATTATCAGTAGGAGCTTTAAGCTACCCTGCATTGGTGTTCGTGTTTTCCTAGTCAATGCCTTCAGTCTCCAGCCCCATCCACTTTCCCTTCGGTTCCACCCTCCACAGGAAGCCCCCAAGAGCCCCCCCACCCAAATGAATCTGCCCTTTGCTTTGCACCCCCCCATGCCACCTGCAATCCAACTTCCCTTCCGACAGGTGATGCAGCCTCCACATCTCGCGCTCCGTCCTTGGCAGCCACGGAATAATGGCCGTCTTCCTGCTGTGTTTTAGCTGCTTTCTCCCAGCACCTGCCAGGGCGCAAGGCTGATCCCGCTTCACCATTTAACATGTTCGCAAGACTCTGGTGGATCCCCCTGGGACTCCTCCCACCAGCCTGCACTGAATTTAATGTAGGCCTGGTGGGACCCTGGTCTTGCGACCCATTCCTGTCCAAGGCATTTCCACAAGTTGCCCTGAAGTTGGCCCTGGGGCGCATCAAGAAGGACCCCACCGTGAATCAAGCCCACGAACTGAAGTACACATTGTGTGAGGAAGGCTGCCAGACCTGCCAAGCCATTGAGCGCTTCATCGGCTACGAGAAACGACTGTCGGCTTTCATAGGACCACTGAACCCCGGCTACTGCGACACGGCCTCCTTGCTGGGCAAGAGCTGGGGGAAAGCCGTCTTCTCCTGGGCATGCATCAGCGATGACCTGGACAACCCAAGATACCACCCCACCTTTGCCAGAACGTTGCCCTCCCCAGCCAGCGTTCTTCTGGCTGTGCTGAGACACTTCAGCTGGGCCCATGTTGGCATCATCTGCTCCCAAGAGGACCTCTGGGTAGACACGGCCAACAAACTAGCGACGGCTCTGAGAAGCCGGGGCCTCCCTGTCGGTGTCGTGACGTCAACAGGGAAAGGCGACGAGAGCGCGGAAAGGGCTTGGGCCAAGATCCAAGCTGCGGGGAACATCAAAGGTACGTTGGGTGAGGAGGAAGCTGGGCCTGGTGGAGAGAGTGAGGGGCTTGTCATTGCCACCAGATGCCTGGGATTGTGATCCCCCTGGGTGGAAGTCCTGCATCCCCCTGACCATTTCAGTTTCGGGTGCCTTAGAGAAATGAAAGATAAGCAAGGGGGACGTTTTCCTCTTTGGCCTCAGCCAGTATATCCCGTGTGAATGATGACATGCCACTCTTCTTCTTCACTTCCACAGAGGAACAGTTTTGAAAGAAATTAACGCTGCTTTCTCTTTTCAGTTGTCATTCTGTGCATGCATTCTGCTCTCCTCGGAGGAGAGGACCAGGGCACCCTGCTGACAAAAGCTCAGGAACTGGGGCTGGCGGATGGGCGATACGTCTTTGTACCGTATGACTCTCTGCTCTACAGTCTTCCCTACCATAACCATTCATACTTCATTCTCGAAAACGATCGCATGTTCCGAGCGGCTTATGATGCCGTGTTGACAGTCACCCTGCAGTCTGGGGAGAGAAGCTTTTATGAGGCTTTTGAGGCAGCAAAACAGAGGGGTGAAATAATGATGAATTTGGAACCGGAGCAGGTCAGTGTGGCTGACAGTAGCGGGTAGGGATGTGGAGAAATCCACTTTGGGGCAGGAAATCTTGAGTCTGGATGCTTGGCTGGGTTTTGGTGAGTTGTGGAACGCCTTATTCTTCCAGGTCACTCCGCTCTTCGGCACCATTTATGATGCAGTTTACCTTGTCGCAAAAGCTTTTGCCAAGGTCGGTCAGCATGGGGTGTCCTCGCTCTCTGGGACCACCTTGACCCAGCATGTCAAGAACCTCAATTTTGCGGGATTCAGCCGCAGGATCCAGACCAACAGCGAAGGACAACCGCTGGCCAAGTACGTCATTCTGGACACAGAAGGGGAGGGGAGCCAGCTCTTTCCCACCCATTTGCTGGTCGCCTCTTCTGGCCTGATTCAGTCCCTGGGAAAAGCTGTGCACTTTCCGAGAAGAGGGCCACCCGCGGCTGATTCCAGCTGTTGGTTTGATCCAGATGTTCTCTGCATTCCAGGTAATGTATACTCACATCGCGCATCTCTGCACAGCTGTTGCCTTGAGCGGAAAGCTCTTGGTTGACCATTATTTTCTAGTTCGTCTCAAAACAGCCCAGTAAAAAAGGAAGGAGTGTCGAAATCACGACGGCCTTCTTTTCTTCCATTCTGTTTTCTGTTTACAGTGAAAGAAATTGGTGTAACTCAGCCACATCGGAAAGGTGAAAACCACAGGTCTCTCTGCTCAATGCAGCATTGTAACCATCCTGCTTTCTGCCAATTAGAAAGGCCCCTGGGGGGATACACAGAGCTTAGCTCAGCAAGAAGAAGGAGTGAAGGAGAGAGCGCGAGAGCTAGAGAGAAATCACTTAATATAATTTGACTTGCCGGGACGGACTAAAGGGGCAGCCCAGAACAGTCTGTCTGCAGGGTGCCACATATCTCCTTGATGATTTGCCGAGTTCTCCAGGGGAATTAATGACTTTGAGGCAGATAGGTGTGCAGGTAACTTTGGGGCAGAAGCAAACATCTTATTCACACTGGAAGGCTGCAGGGAGGGAGTTACCTTCTCTGTGCTGTAGCACATGATTTATATCCAGAACATTCTATCATCAGCCCTTTGGGGTGCTAAATAAAATAACATCAAGGGGAGGCCTCTTTTGGAAACCCCGGAAAGCGGCTAGGAACTGGAGTAGGCAGCTGCCGAGCAAGCTAGACCAGTGTCTTGACTTGCAGGTGCGGATATATTCATGCCAAGGTCCGCATGGGCTTGATTCCATCCGGTCGGGATCTGCCTTCCAGCAGGAGGCAGGACCAGAGTCAAAGTAGGCAGAGTTACAGGTGTGACTGTTACTTTGTTCATGATGTGTGAGTTGGGAGGTGGGGAGACAGGTGCACCTTGGCATCTCTTTCCCCAACCCCAAGTTCCTTTCCTCTTGGTGTGGATTTGAAGGGCAGAGAGGGCAGCTGTGACTGCAGAGGCGTCCCAGACCAGTGGTGGCTGTCACTTAGGACAGTGGGTTGATGTATCTACTCCAGGTTCCAGCCTGAGTTTGGGGGGCTGTCTATGGTGCCCGGCCTACTTTGGGACCAGTGGTCAGCACTATGGATCACTCCTGAAAGTGCACCCTGCTGCTGCAGAAGGCAGTGGCCTCCACTGGAGGTCCATATTTGGCCCAGGGGCTAGAAGCTCCCCAAGTCTTGTTCAACCACTTTAACGTTCCTGAGAGGGGCCGTAAGATGTGTCTGGAAAGCAGGGGCACAGGACCTCAGGTGTGGGAGCCAACCTGAGCAGCCCAGGAATCCAAATCTGGCCTTCCAGATTTCTGAGGTGGCCACAGCCCGTCTGCATGTCCTCAACGTTCCTCCTTGACCATCAGGTCTCCGGACCTTCTTGAGAAGGTAGCAATGCTTCTCCTAGGGGTGGGTTCTTGATCAAGAGCTTTGAGTTGAAGTAGCCTGGCATCTTCTCTCCACTCCTTTGCCTTTGGTCCCATCCGCCACTGGAAGGACCCCAGGGAGTTCCTCTAAAATGGCCCTTGGCCTGGAAGTGGTCCAGCACTCCTACTGTCAACGTTCGGTGGGGCTGTTTCTTCCCCTGTCCCTCATCTGCCCCAGTGTCAATTCCAGGGCAGGACTTAGCCTTCATTCCATGCAGGGCTTAGCCTTCATTTTTGTCTCTCCCTCCTGCCTAGGCCCAGCGCCACCCATTCTGATCATGGTCCTGCTGCCTCCGCTCTCCCTGCTGCTCTTTGGCACGTGCGTTGCGTATGCCATCAGGTCAGAACTTCTGAAACCCTCGTGCTGCATCCGAAGGCCTCTGGTTTGTCCCCTGGATCAGTGGCCCCTGGTGGTGGTGGGGAAGTCTCCTCCCTCAAGAAGCATGTGCCCTTTTAATTCTCTCAGTATTTTAATTGTTAACCTGTTTTACTCAGTGGCTTCATTTTAACGCCTGACGCTGCGCAATGGTTACCCTTATTTTTATGTTCATTTTATTGTATTAATTTGTTGTAAACCACCCTGAGATGCATTTTTATTTTTTATTTTTTTGTATTGATTTGTTGTAAACTGTCCCGAGACATCTGTGATGGGATGGTATAGAAAAGTTTTAAAGAAATAAACAAGAAGCCCATGCTCAGCTTTCCACTGGTTTGCATGCAGAGTCTGGTGCAAATGTTGTGCTGATAAAGCGGTGTGGAGGAATCCGTTCTGGAGCCAGGAATCTACTCGATTCCCTGGGTGTGGCCCCCTGGTCTCTGTTCCTCTCACCTCGCGCCACCTGGTGTGGAAGAAGCCTGCCGGTTGTCCTTCCAGAGCACCACAAACATTTGCAGACTTTCGCTCAGCTCTGCTTACTTTGCAAAAAAACTTTGCACTAGGCTGAGTGAGCACAAAAGAAAGTCTGCAAAACGCTGGAGGGACAGACTCGGGTGAGTTTCGCCCCAGCGCTGGATGCGTTCGCCCAGCCTTGGTGCAGGCTGCATCGTTTCCTCACAGCAACCCAGTCCTCGCCACGAGTCCGTGCCACGTTTTCTCACCACCCGGGCTGAGCATTACAGCAGCCTCTACTCACAGAGGGAGAGTGATGGGGAGGTCGAACTGGTTAATGAGCGTTAACCTCAGGAAATAAATTGTGCTAACTCAGTGTTACCTGCTGCAAACATCGCAGGCCAGGTGCTCCGAATCCGGTGAGAATTCCAGCTGAGCAGGGAGTGTTCAGGTCTCCCGCTTTGCACTTAAATGAACCACAGTGCTGAATTATGAGCAGTAATGTGATCAAAGACCGAAAAGGCAGTGGGTTCGATTCACCTCTAATTCAAGGCCATCCGGGCTGCCCTTGGCTGCCCTTGTACACACCTCGGGTGCCACCGCCCTTCGAATGCAGTTCTGGTCATTGCACTTAAAAAGGAAATTGTAGGGTTGGAAAAAGCTCAGAAAAGGGCCGAGTCAAAGGATCCAGGAGTTGGAGCCAATTCGCTGGGAGGAGAGCTGCCAAGAGCTGAGATGGCTGGGCATGGAAGAAAGGAACATGGTTTCCCATATTTATTTATTTTATTTAATAAAAGCTTTTCTAAGGCGTCCACCACTCGTGTCTCAGGACAGCTTCCAATGAACACGGTGTTCAGTTGACAGTACCTGCTGCTTGCACGGCTGTTTGATTTAAGTTTTGTCGCTGACAAGACTTTTCAGACTGGGCAAATCATATATTCAGACACACTGGTGCTGTTCTGTGTTTTGAATGGTTTACTATAATGTGACAGGTGGCCTAAAATAATTGTAAACAATTTACAACCTGTTGCAGAGTATGTTTTGTCAAACTGCAATTGAGGCAGAAGACAACTGCAGGGTTTAAGCCGATGTTTACTATTATCCTGACAAATAAGGATAAAGTGTTCTGTATGTTTGGACAGAGAAAGGCTGTGCTGGCTGAGGCATGCTGGGAGTAGTAGGAATTTTTCTGTCTAAATGTCCATATTTAGACAGAATATGAAAGCAGCAACGTTAGAAGGAAAAGGTAAAGCCAAACCCACCATTACAATTCCTTCGATGCACCCGTGCTTTTCAGCTTTGCTGCATGGATCTGTTTCTCATGCTTTAACTTGGAGTCATGCCTTGAACGGGGGGGTTAGACTCAATGCGACCATCCCTAAGCATTTCCTTTCCTGCACTTCCACCATTTAACCTCTAGGTGGCACTGTGGAATAGCACAAATCCACAAGAGAAAATCACACTTTCTTTCACTTTTATAATTAAAGATTGCATTTATCCTGTTCAAAAAAGAAATAAAATACGAAAGATGCTGATTAGACAGAGAAGCAAAACTGGAGGGGCCATAGGAATCCATAAACAACCACGAGAAGGGAATGACAAGTGTCTTGTGCAGAAAACCCCATAGTGGATTTTAAACCAGTTATTTTCCCTGCTATACAGTGGATTTAAGTAATGGATGTTATTTATTGCAACCTAACCCATATTGATAGCTTATTTATTTCATTTAGTACACAATCCTGTGACTGATAGATGCTGTTTGGTCAGCCATAGGAAAGGCAGAATCCACATTTCCATTGCAGAAAAACTTTGCAAAGTCTCTGTGGAAATTCTGTCTTTGTAGCCTTACCCCCTCTCTGATCTCTCAGCCATTCATAAAGTCATAGGCAGCCACACTTAATGAATTGCAGAATTGGACACTTAATGAATTAAATGCTCTTACTGATGGCTTTGTTTTCAGTAAATAAGAAAGAAATACTTTAGCTTCTGTACAAATCTGAACTATGCAGCTCTGTTTTATTGCTTTGTAGGACTCTATATTTTTATTATTACTGTTCCAACTGGAAGTACTTTTAAACGCATAATTTAAATGTGATTTTAATAGTAATATAATACATGCAATTTTAATATTCATAAGTAAGCCATAAAGGGGTTATTTTTAATACTTAGTGGTATGAAGATATTATAAAGCAATAAGATAAATACAGTCATTAAAAATAACAAGAAGGACATAAAATAGAAATAACTTCTCAGTAAAACCAGAGTGCGGCATTAGCGGCTTGAGTGCAAGACTTGAGCAATCCAGGTTCTACTCCCCACGCCGCCCCGGCTGTCTTTGGACCAGTCACAGACTTTCAACTAAACCTGCATCACAGGGCTGTTGTGAAAGCCAGCGTGGTTACAGAACTGGACGGAGACTCAGAAGATCTGGGTTCTTGCCCCATTCAGCCATGAAGCCCCGCTGGGAGACTACCAATAGCTACCTCTTAGCCTAACCTAACTCACAGGACTGAGTCCACCCCTTGAGATCAGACGCAGAGGTCCTTTTCTGGGAACCCTCCTTGAAGGAATTCAGGAGGGGTTGATATTAGTAAACAAGAAATGTACTTGATTTTTCATGTAATCACTGCGGCGAGGATTGCATTTGCTCAACACTGGGAAAGTGAAGAACCATCCACCGACGAACTGATCCTAAAAAAGATCTTGGACGGTGCAGAAATGGATAGATTGACTTTGTCATTGAAGGAGAAAGAAGATGCTGATTTCTATCAAACTTGGGACTCTTTTTATTATTGACTAGAGAAACGTGACTTAGTATAGATTTCAATCTGTTTTTAAGTTATCATAATTGGAAAAAATGTGGGAGCTGACCCAGCAGGTCCGATGTTTCTGATGATTGATGTTGTTTTTAGTTTTTCTTTGTTTTAGGGTTATTATTTTGAATAAAACTTATTATAAAAAAGGAGGGTAGTAACTCGGAGAAGGGCCTTTTCAGTGGTGGCACTGTGACTGTGGTATATGCTCCCCAGGGAGGTTTGCCTGGCACCATTGCTATATTCCTTTTGGCGTCAGGGAAAGACTTTTTATTTTCCCAGTATTTCCACAAATAATTGGTTTTATCCTTGCTTTCATCACTATTTTTAGATGCAGTGTGCTGTGTGTTGTTGTTGTTATGTTTTTTTGGTTCTTAGGTTTTTTGTTCTTTGTAAGCCATCCAGAGACTTTTTTTTTTAGTAATGGATGGCATAGAAAAACTTTAAGTAAAATGAATGAATGAATAAACAAACCGCCACTGCCACCAAGGACTAGTAACCATGCCAACACAAAGAAAATGAAAGTCAGGCTGAAAGGTTAAAGCTTAATCATGAGGACTAGAATATTGGAACACAAAAAGATCATTGTATGTTTATTCCAATCCCTTTGCAGGCACAACAACCTCTATCAGCAAGTTGTCAAAGGCTCCAAGAAGTTGCTGCTGACTCTGGATGACCTGACGTTTGTCCACACCAAACTCAGCAGGATGGTGGGTGTCCCTTGCTCCCATTAGCATGGACATTTTGCTGAAACTCTGTCTGAAGCATGAGTAGATGGCTGTTTTTCAAGTCCAAGAGACACCTGTGGATTTGCCAAGGGTTTCTGCCAGGGTGGCCTAGAAATGCCCCTCCAGACAAGGGCTGACCCAAATGTTCTCCAGGGCTGATTTTTGCCCAGAAGGAATTCTTCCTCCGGGGCAGTCCTCTTCCTGTCTTTTCTCACATGATCCCAGCCAGTCAGGGACCACGTACTGCAAGTGAGGATGCCGCAAGGCCACGCAGGCAATCCGAATGAACGATAGTGTGACATCACTAACAACAACCAAGGGCCAGTAGAGGGAGGGCAGAGTGTTCCTGAACTGGTTATGGAGGTGATCCCAACCAATCAGGGATTCTTCTCAGAATCAAAGAGCTTTTCAGCCTTCCCAGAATGACGAAAGCCCACCCTACATTTTGATTCTGGAAAAAGTTTTTAAAAATGTCAGCACCCCCTTTTGCCTCAGCATTGCTCCAGGCCTAGAGTTGGATTCAGGATCTGTCCTCCACAAGAAAAAAGAGGCATTGGTTCTACTCAAGTTTCCTTGTTGGGCAAGTCTAGTGATCAGAAAGGAAAGGTGTATCTTTCCCCCATTGGCTCTGATACACTCTCACAGGCCCTTTCCCATGTTACATTAGTAGTTATCATGCAGAGATTTGAAAGGTAGTGTTTCACAGTGGTTAGACCGTCACACTAGGACGCAGGAGATGCAGGTTCCCGTCCTCATTTGGCCACAATACTCACTGGAGGACTTTGGGCCAGTCGCTGGTTCCCAGCCTAGCCTACCTTACAGGGTTGTTGTGAGGATGAATGGTGAGGAGGACTTGTGTCCCTTGGAGGAGAGGAGGGGTACAATGACCCTTCTTCCTTTCTAAGGAGCTGCAGAGGATGAAAGAGCTCTGTTGCGATCAGCCAAGTCACAGATCATCCTAGGAAAGGGACCATCCCGACCCAGCACCGTATCGCCACACTGCACAGTAGCCAACTGTGGTGAGCAGGAGAAAGTCATCGGTTAACCTTGGGCTGCATTTGATTCTACTTTCCCAGCGGTCAACTCTGGACAACTTCAGTGATTCCAAGAGCAACTCAGAAGGCCGGAGTGTGAGATCCGCAGCCCCTTCCCTGTCTGTGAAAAGCGCACCCGTGACCTACGAGACCTCCAGTGTGGCTCTGTATGAGGTAGCAGGAAGCCTGGTTAGCTGTGGTCACTGGGGGCCCCTGGAGATCCTTCCCTGTCACAGACGAAGAGCAAGCACTGGGATGAAATGGGTGGAGGGACTGGGGGAAGAGTTACTCCTGTAGAGCAGTGATGGCTCCCATGAACTGACTCCCTTGGAAAAGCACGGCTGTAACATGCGATGTTTCGCATGCACTGCCTGAGGTGCTTGATCTGTGGTGGATCATTGGCCATTGCTTCATGTTTCAGGCGCCACCCAAAGGCCAGGCTTGTAAGTACTTTTCCCAAGAACATCCCTCGGAAGGTAAGCAGTAATGAAAAAGTGGCTGAAGGAGAGAGAGGTCAAGGATTCCCTACTGCCTCAAGGAGGAAGGAGAGAGAACAGGTGTCCTTCAAAGTGCTAAACTGATCTTTCTTGAGATTGATAAAATCATATCAGTGGGGCTTAACCTTTGACCTTCCTAGCTATTTCTCAAAGTCTCGTTTTAGGGCCAAGTTTGAAAGTCTCGTTTTTCAGCCAAACCTGCCAGCTCCTAGTTCTCGTGTGACGGCAGGTGTTCCTCACAGCCCCTGCAGGCATTTCCCCCTGTGTCATCGGGTAATAGCAACCGACCAGGAACCATGTACAAAGGCACTGAATCGTAACCATTAAGATTTAGCTAACTGCTGTCCTCGATGAGGACAGATGAAGCAGGCTTATTTATTTATTTAAAACATTTTTATGCCACCCCCATCGCAACAAAGCCTCGGGGCGGCTCACAACAAGAACAAAATATACAAATATAACAAATGATACAATAAAAATATTAAAACCCGGTGCATCTCGGCTTAAAAGATTTAAAATCCTATAAATACCAATAAATTAACAATTAAAATGGCTCTGGCCTTTTGGCTCTGGCCTCTTGGCAGAGCAGCGGAGCAGCAGAGGCACAGGCTGGGGGAGAGGCTGAGTGGCCAGGGGACGGGCAAAGGCAAGGCAGGGGCTGGGCAGGGGAGCAGAGGGCCGGGAGCAGCAGAGAGGAAGGGCATCGCCCCTTGGCTGCGGCCCGGGCTGTCCGGAGACTCCCTTCCCTGAGACACAGAGGTTTGTTTGTTTGTTTGTTTGTTTGTTTTTGTTTGTGCTGTGCTTTGCTTTGCTTTGCTTTGTTTGTCTTCCAATTTAAGTTTATTTTATCCTTGTGTGTGTGTGTGCAAGTGGGTTTTTGTCTGGGAGAACTGGGCGAGTGAGGGGAACTGCAGGAGAAACCAGGCAGGGGACCAAGGTAAGGTCTTGGAAGGGATCCCAATGGCAGACCAGGAGATGGCCTTGGCGGGAGTCACAGGCATTGCTGTCCGCTGTGACAACTGCAACATGTTCGCCCTTCTCCACCAGGAGAGGCAGGGATACACTTGTCCTCGGTGCAAGATGGTGAGCCTCCTAGAAGAGAAGGTGAGGGGCCTGAGGGCCGAGAGAGCTCTCCAGGCCCCCCCGGAGCAGCCCCCCTCTGGACAGAGGGTTGAGGGAGAGGCCATGGGAGGAGCAGCCACGGAGACATGGAGGTATGTCACCCACAGGAGGAGGAGGCCAGCACGGCCTCCTCCTCCTCCTGGCACCAATCTGGAGCTGGGAAACAGGTTCTCTCCACTTGGGGAGGCTGGGGCTGATGAGGCCTCGGGGGACCAGCAGGACCCCCAGCCTGGGACGTCAGGCGGCAAGGGGGCCGCTGCGGGAGAGGCGAGGGCCAGGGCACGGCCGCCCACCAGCACCGGGAAGGTACGGTGGCGGGTGATTGTTGTTGGGGACTCCCTGCTGAGGGGCACTGAGCCGGCGGTGTGCCGCCCCAACCTGGAGACAAGGGAGGTTTGCTGCCTGCCGGGCGCACGCATCCGGCATGTGAAGGACAGAGTAAGCATCTTGTTCACTCCGGGGGTCACCAGCCGCTCCTGGTGATCCACGTGGGCACAAACGACGTGGCCAGGCAGGGTGTGGTCGGGACCACCAGGGACTTCGAGGCCTTGGGGAAGACACTCAGGGAGCTGAAGGCCCAAGTGGCCTTCTCGTCGATCTTACCTGGCCGGGGATTTGGGCCAGGCAGGGACAGGAGGGCCTCCGAGGTGAGCGACTGGCTTAGGGTGTGGGGCCAGAAGGAACGCTTCGGGTTCCTCGACCACGGCACTCGGTTTCTTGCCAATGGACTTCTGGCAAGGGACGGGTTGCACCTCACGAGGATGGGGAAACGGTCCTTTGGAGATGCTCTAGTGAGCTTCGTCCGGAAGACTTTAAACTGAGCCGGGGGGGTTCAGGCCCCCCAATAACGTGTCTGCACTGGACAAGTGTGGGGGGAGGATCAGGGCTCTGGGGGCAGGGTTTTAGAGATACTGCAGGGAATGACAGGGCTCCTACAGAGAGGGGCCAGGCATCAGGGAGGATGGGAGGAAGGAGGAGGCTGGGAACTCCAAGGAAAGGAAGCGGTGGGAAGGAGTTGAGGTGCATGTACACCAATGCCAGGAGCATGGGTAACAAGCAGGAAGAGCTTGAAGTTCTCCTGAGAATAGGAGGGTATGACCTGGTGGGAATCACAGAAACTTGGTGGAATGAAAGGCAAGTCTGGAATGTGAACATAGAAGGGTATCACCTTTTTAGAAAGGACAGGAAGGGAAAGAGGGGTGGGGGGTGGCTTTATACATCAGGGAAGGGATAGGATGCAGTGAGACAGAATGCAGCACAGATGGGGATTTGGTAGAGGCAGTCTGGGTGAAACTTAGGGGTTTTGACAGGGAAAGGGACCTGACAGTGGGGGTATGTTATCACCCTCCAGGTCAACTTGAGACCCTGGATGATGTCCTGACAGACCAGATTCTAAGGATATCTCAGGGGAGAGACACAGTAATTATGGGAGATTTCAGTCTCCCGGATATTACTTGGGAGACTCACTCGGTGGTGACAGCCAGGTCACATCGCTTCCTAGAAGCTATAGAGGGAGGGTTTTTCACACAGAGGGTCCGAGAGGCGACGAGGGGGGGAACATCCTTGACTTGGTCTTGACCAATAGGGAGGAGCTGATAGATGAGTACAGATTAGGGGAGCTCTAGATGCGAGTGATCAGGGGACTGGGGACGTGCAGCAGGTCAAACTCTAGAAGCTGGGACTTCAAGAGGGCCAACCTTGGCCAACTGAAGGCCAGATTGGGGAAAGTCTCCTGGGATAGGTTACGGGAAGGCAGGCGAGTTGAGGAGGGGTGGCTGACATTCAAAAGGGAGGTTTGGGAGGCGCAAGCCTTGACGATACCTCTAGTCAGTAAGGTGGGGAGGCGGAGGAGAGCGCCACCATGGATGCGAAAGGAGGTGGTTAGAGGGATTAGACGAAAGAGGAACCTCCATAGGAAATGGGTACTGGGGGAAATAGACAAAAGGGTATACCGGGAGGAGGAGGCCCATTGCAGAAGGATTCTTCGCAAGGCTAAGGCTGATTATGAGCTGAGACTTGCCAAGAATATCAAGAGCAACAAAAAGGGCTTCTTTCAGCATGTAAATAGGAAGAGGAAGGGGAGATAAGTGGTGGGACCACTAAATAAGGAGGAAGGAGATCCAGTGACTGATATGAGGGAACAGGCACAGATGCTAAATGACTATTTTGCCTCTGTGTTCTCCCCAAAGCAGGACGGGGGAGATCCGCATAGGAGATTAGATGAGGCTGGGGACTTAGGGGCACAGATTAGAGTCACCCCCCTTGAAGTCGAGGGGCTCCTCAGGGCATTGGACATTACAAAGGCACCAGGCCCTGACGGGTTACACCCGAGAGGACTTAGAGAGTTGGCAGGGGTTCTCTCACGCCCGCTGGCCTCCATGTTTGAGACCTTGTGGAGAACGGGTGAAGTTCCAGAGGACTGGAGGGTGGCATCGGTGCTCCCAATTTTCAAAAAGGGTAGTAGAAAGGACATGGGGAATTATAGGCCGGTTAGCCTTACGTCCATTGCAGGAAAAACAATGGAAAGGCTCATAATAGTGAGAGATCTAGTGATGCTAGATAGGGAAGGGAGGCTTCCGCAAAAACAGGTCCTGCCAGACAAACCTTGTGGGATTCTATGACAAGGTTTCGAGATGGCTAGATGGAGGGGATGCAGTGGATGTGGTATACCTGGATTTCAGCAAGGCCTTTGACAAAGTGCCCCATGATATCCTGGTGGAGAAACTGAGGAGTTTTGGGATACACCAAAGCACTGTCCGGTGGATTAGGGCATGGTTGACTGACCGAAAGCAGGAGGTAACCATTAGCGGGGAATCATCGGGATGGCAGCCAGTGACAAGTGGGGTCCCCCAGGGCTCTGTCCCTGGGCCAATCCTGTTTAATCTTTTCATCAATGACATGGAAGAAGGGGTGAACAGTCTGCTGATCAAATTCGCAGATGACACTAAAACTAGAGCAGTGGCCACAACTGAGGAGCAGGTACTCCAGATCCAGAAGGATCTGGACAGACTGTGGAAGTGGGCAGGAGACAACAGGATGGTGTTCAATGTGGATAAGGGCAAGGCCTTGCACTTGGGGCATAGGAATAGCTGTCATAAGTACAGGTTAGGGGACAAGTGGCTGGAGAGCAGCACTTGTGAAAGGGACCTCGGGGTGCTGGGCGACTGCAGGCTAAACATGAATTAGCAGTGTGATGCGGTGGTCAAGAGGGCAAATGCCACCCTTGTTTGCATAGCCAGAAGTGTGGCTTCTAGATCAAGAGAGGTATTACTACCACTCTACACGACTTTGGTGTGCCCCCAGTTGGAGTATTGTGTTCAGTTTTGGGCCCCTCATTACAGAAAGGAGATAGCCAGGTTGGAGTCAGTGTAGCGTAGGGCCACAAGGTTGGTGGCTGGTTTGCAGGGGATGCCGTATGAGGCGAGACTGAGGGAGCTGGGTCTCTTCAGCCTGGAGAAGTGGAGACTCAGAGGGGATCTGTTGGCGACATACAGGTATGTGAGGGGGTGTCACACGGAGGTGGGTAGAGACCTGTTCTCCCCTGCAGAGGAAGGCAGGACATGCTCCAATAGAGCCAAGCTCAGGGAGCCAAGGCTCCATTTGGATGCCAGGAAGCACTTCCTGACAGTCAGGACCCCAAGGGTGTGGAATGGGCTTCTACGAGAGGTCCTTGAGGTCCCATCGGTGAGGGTGTTCAAGGATAGGCTGGACATGCACATGGCGGGCATGTCGTGAGCAGAGCCGGCTGGTGCCAGAGGTCAGACTAGATGGCCCGGGAGACCCCTTCTGACTTGCTCAGTTTCTATGTTTCTAAAATAAGTTTTAAATAAAAAGGTCTTAGACTGGCACCAAAAAACAAATAAAGACGGCGCCAGGCGGACCTCTCTGGGGAGCACATTCCATAGATTGGGCGCCACCACAGAGAAAGCCCTCCTCTGGGTACTCACCCTCCTAATATCCTTCACGGAGGGTTCCCGGAGAAGGGCATCCATTGCTGATCTCAAGGGGCGGGAGGGCATATATGGGCGCAAGCGTTCCTTTAGATACCCAGGACCCAAGCCGTTGAGGGCTTTATAGGTCATAACCAACACCTTGAATTGGGCCCGGACTTCAATCAGGAGCCAGTGGAGCTGACAGAGAACTGGGGTTATATGAGAACAACACCCAGTCCTGTCAGCAGCCTGGCAGCTCTATTCTGCACCAATTGAAGTATCCAGACTGTCTTCAAGGGCAACCCCAGATAGAGTACGTTACAGAAATCTAATTGGGAAGTTACCAACGTGTGTGTCACTGTCGCCAGCCAGTGGTTCTCCAGGAAGGGACGCAGCTGATGGATCAGCCGAAGCTGAAGGAAAGCGCTCCTCGCCACCGCCATCACCTGAGCTTCTAAAGACAGCTCAGGGTCGAGGAGCACTCCCAAGCTGTGGGCCCTGTCCTTTAGAGGGAGTGCAACCCCATTCAGAACAAGGCCCAGGTCCCCAATCCTGAAGCCTGACCCACCTACCAACAGGACCTCCATCTTGTCTGGATTGAGCTTCAGTTTATTGGCCCTCATCCAGCCCATTACCTCGGCCAGGCACCGGTTCAGCACGGCCACTGCCTCACCTGGATTGGTGGAGAACGAGAGGTAGAGCTGGGTATCATTAGTGTACTGATGATTCCGCAGCCCACACCTCCAGATGACCTCTCCCAGCGGTTTCATGTAGATGTTGAATAGCAAGGGGGACAAAATGGACCCCTGCGGAACTCCGTGGCATAGCTGCCATGGCGCAGAGCCATAGTCCCCCAGCACCACCTTCTGGAATCGGCCATTGAAGTAGGAGCGGAACCACTGCAAAGCAGTGCCTCCGACCCCCAGTCCCACTAGCCTATCCAGAAGGATACCATGGTCGATGGTATCGAAAGCCGCTGAGAGGTCCAGGAGGACCAACAGGGACGCACTCCCCCTGTCTCTCTCCCTGCACAGGTCATCATACAGGGTGACCAAGGCAGATTCAGTACTGTACCCGGGTCTGAAGCCGGACTGAAAAGGATCCAGATAATCAGTTTCATCCAAGAGTGCCTGGAGTTGTCCCGCCACCACCTGCTCTAACACCTTGTCCAGAAACGGGATGTTGGCCACTGGTCTATAATTGGTGGCCATTGCTGGATCCAGGGACGCCTTCTTCAGGACGGGTCAGACTACCGCCTCCTTTAAAGGGGCAGGTACCCGGCTGTCTCTTAACCAAGGGAGGGTGGTGTCTCCAACATCTATGGTGCTGAATCTGAGACCAGACTAGTTTTAGTATCATGGAGAGCTCCTTATAAATCCAGACCTTCCAAAGTGGATACACTGCTCCACTGACATTGGGGTCGCCAGCCTAAAGATGGTGCTTCATATTCAGGTCACATGGGTGATTCCAGCCAATCTAGGACCATAGAATGACCAAATCAAGACCCATGTCACGATGTTCCCTGAAATCTGAATGAAACTGATTGTGGTGCATTTTCCCACAACCCGCACTCACCTCTTTTAAGTCCCCCTCTCCAATTTCCCAAAGTGAAATTTGGAAATCTTCAGCATTGAAGGAGTATGAATCTGAATCTGAAAATGTGTTAAATGGTGCATTGCAGTGAGTTCTCTTTTAGTCCTGCAATTCACCTGGGCCTTTTCATTCACCTTTGCTATTTCTGCCTAGGGAGACTGGGTATGGTTGAAGAAGTTGGAGTCCGGAGCAATGAATGAACTGAGACAGCATACTACCAGCTTGCTAAGAAAGGTAAAGATGAGCACTGAAGAACTAGTGACCCCCACATCTGCACAGATGTGTTGTTTTGTGCATGTATCCATAACAGTTGCAATAACAGAATAGATAACGGAAAGCAAATGTGATAAACTACAGCATGAAATTCTCATACAAAATTCAAAACAAAATTCAAAATTTGGTTTAAAAGACCAAAACAATTTCAATGAAAATTGGACCTATTCAAATACCTGGCATGTCCCATCATATGCCATTAAATTTCAGGAAAGAGGGGGATGTCTTAACCAAATACCACAAAGATGACATATTCAGCACTCAGGAATCTAGTCAGGAGCAACATATACTTGTTGGAAATAAATAAATTAATTAATCTGAGCTCTGACCACTCAACACTATCAGTTGCCATCAGATACTAGCCTTCCATTTTTATTCAATCACCATATCTTAATATTGCTAGATGGAGCGTAATTACTTTATGCATTGGCAATTTTTTAGCCATCTGGAATGTGCATGCCAACATGGAAACTGGAAGTCAATCTGAGTGAATAAATAAACAGAGTAAATTTCACACATCCTCAGTCTTGTTACCATAAAAGGCATTAAGTATGTATTTATTAATTAAATTTCTATACCGTCCAATCACCAAACCTCTTTGCGACAGCTCATAAAGTTCAATAAAATGCCATAGAAAACACAAATGGCAAAACAACGGGAAAAAAAGTTCATGACAGAAGTTAAAAACCAAATTTACACAGCATCAGTAGCTAAGGCAAGTTAGAAGGTTGAAGAAAGCCTGTGGGCAGAGTCAGGATTTGGAAGACACTCAGTGAGCCAGCTCTGTGAGGGAGCAGCCTTCTCAGCGGCTAGGACACCAACTGGCATCACTCTCACACTCTTCCTCATCACGGCTACCGCATGCTTGCCGGGCACGAGGACCAGGGAGCAGGGAGACCGGGGCATCTCCTGCTCATTCGTCTCACCACCGCGGTTGTCCGGGCCGGAGCGAGAGGCGGGTGGCACTGGGGAAGAGAAGCCGCCAGCCCAGGGGTTCTCAGTGAGTGGACCTTTGCAGAGGTCTCAGCTCATGGCAGGTGCACCAAAGCCTTTACTAACATCCGTGCACCCTTCCTATCTGATCTGGAGGTACAAGCCAGATTTCGGATGTAACATCAGGAAGACCTTCTGGACTGCTAGAGCAGTATGACACTGGCACCCATGAGCTCAGGAGGTCATGGGCTCCCCCACACTGGCGGCCTTCAAGAGGCAGCTGAACAGCCATCTCAGAGGGATGGTTTAACCTGGAGTCTGGCAATGGGAGGGGCTTGGACTGAATGACCTTCTGGGCACCTCCAACTCTACCACTGTATGATTGCATGATTCTGTGATTCTATTCTAAATTATGGAACGCGCTCCCCAGAGAGGTCCGCCTGGCGCCGTTGTTATTTGTTTTTCGGCGCCAGGCGAAGACCTTTTTATTCAAGCAGCATTTTAACCGTTAACATTATTGGTTTTATCTGGCCAGGGCGGCTTATTTTATACTGTACTGTTGTATTTTAATTTTATATTTATATTTTAATTTATATTATAATTATTTTAACTTAATGATGTGAGCCGCCCCGAGGCTTCGGCGAATGGGGCGGCATAAAAATGTTTTAATAAATAAATAAATAAATAAATAAATAAATATTTTGCATTTGGGCCCTGAACCCCAAGTATCCCTCCTGAACCCCAATTGCCACAAAAGGAAAGGCCCTCGTTCTCTTGGGCTTTGTGTCCCCAGATGAAGGACATACGCCATGAAAATGTGACCCAGTTCTTGGGCCTGCTGTCGGATGGGGGCCACTCTGCCATGGTGATGGAGTACTGCTCCAGGGGGAGCTTGGAGGATTTGCTGCAAAACACAGATATTAAGCTGGACTGGCTGTTCAAGTCATCTCTTCTGATGGATGCAATTAAAGTAAGGCCTTTTGTTATAGTGGGGTGGGACAGGAGGACTTAAGTGCTTGTCCGTCAAAGTGCTCTTTGACAGTGTGCCCCACAAAAGGGGATCATCCATGACCCCCAATATACCCTGGGAGCCAGTATGCTGCAGTGGTTAAGAGCTTGGGGCAGGGACTCAGGTGATCTGGGTTCGAGTCCCAGCTCAGTTGTGGAGACAACTGGGTGGCTTTGGGCCAGTCACAGGCTCTCAGCCCAACCTACCTCACAGGGTTGTTGTTGTGGGGATAAGATGGAGGAGGAGAATGATGTAAGCTGCCTTGGGCTCTTTGTAAGCAAAAAGCGGGATATAAATCTAATAAACAAATAAACAAACACAGCCAGAATAGAGGTTGCTCTCAACCCTGAGACTGGGTCTTGTGTTCAGCACAAATCCTGAGGTTGGCAGGGGTTTCTTACAGCAGCAATTTTCAATCCAACACCCTCCAAATGTTTTGTACTTGTTTGCCTGGCAAATGGTCAGGTATGATGGGGTTTGTAGTCCAGTCATGCAGAAGCCACCAGGTTGGGAAAAGCTGATCAATAGCATGGAGGACAGGTTTCAAATCAGTAAAGGTACAATCCTGTGCATGTTTTAAAAAGAACCTACAACACCCAGCATTCCCCAGCCAACTTGGGTGGCAGGGGAATGCTGGGAGTTGTAGGAGTATTTCCTGTCCGTTTTCTGTTTTCTGCTCATAGACATGTGCCCCAAAGGGCTAAAATAGGTACAAATAGCAATGATTGTTCATCACCTTTTAGCTGGCCCAGAAGGCTGGACCTGGCGGAGCGTCAGTCTGATGTCAGGGGGCCGTTGTGCGGCAACGGCTAAAGCCCCCTGCCTCTTTGCTTTGCAGGGAATGAAATACCTGCACCATCAGGAAGTTTGCCACGGGCGCCTCAAGTCCCGCAACTGCTTGGTGGACGGGCGGTTCGTGCTGAAGATCACCGACTACGGCTATGGGGAACTGCTAGCGGCTCAGCAAGCCTTTCGTATTCAGCCACCGGCAGAAGGTGAGAAGCTGCCACATCCAGAAGTGAGCCGGGGAGGAGAGCTCTCTTGGTCCTGGGGGCTGAGTGCACCCCAGGACATCCCTTGGGGGGCAGGGCACCGTCTCAAAGCTCAGCCCCTTCCCTTGGAGGGGCACCCCTATTAGCTTTTATTTCATCAAGGTGCTAGCTCTGTTGACTTCTTTGGATGCCAGTCTCCTTTCACGGAGGCAAGGAGAGGTCGCCTTTCCTTATTCTTTGCTGCAGAAACACCCTGCAGTGGCTTTGGGTTACCATTCTTAGCTGCAGTCCATCCGGAAGCGGCTAAAAAGGCAGAAGAAATGGAGGGCTTCCTGCCACTGATTTTTGCTCTGATCTTAGGTAAGGGGTGCCAAGAACTGAGGGCCAGTCATGTGCTTGGCCCACCTCTGGACCGTAGGCAGTCCACTGGCTTCCTCCCGCTTAAGTGGGACTCTGCGAATCCTGGTATTAAACCAAGTGGTTAGACAGGTGCCTCCTTCTTAGATTTGGTCACAAATCCATAGTCCAAACCTCCAGTCCAAATTAAGCAAAGCCATTGATTAAAGGAATATAATAAGAGGAAGAAGGGAAACCAAATTAAAGAACAAAGTATATAAAGTGCAAGATGGTTGAGTTGCAATGCACACATCTTTTCTTCCAGGGACCAAAGACAAAAACAGAATATTCCACATTTATTAGGTTCACCAGACAGGTACTAGGTGCCTTGGCAGAAAGAGCCTTCTTCAGACTCTTGGTCTGCCAGAGGAAGCCAGAAGCGTGTGAATCAAGGTGGGAAGGTGGTGTTCTCTGACTTGGATAGACTAGGCTTCCTGTTCTGTGCATTTGGAAGTCTGGGAAGAGCTTGTGCAAACCTTTGGGAAGGTCTGTAGCACATGGCAGAGCCCCTGCTTGACATACAGGAGGTCCCCAGCTGGCTCCCCAGCATTTTCAGGTAGGGTTAAGGAAGAAACCCGCTGCCCGTCAGTGCCAAGGCAAATAGGCCAGACGGACCGATGGCTGGACAGGGGGCATCCTGGGTCCCTCCGCAGAGGGGGTCACGGATGCCAGTGCCCTTGTCAACGACGCTGCAAGCGGTTGTCCCCCATGTTACAGAATAAGGTGGTCTTTCCCCCCCTTCCTCTATTTTGCAGAATTACTCTGGACAGCTCCAGAGTTACTGAGGGATCCAGCAATGTACCCCAAGGGCACCTTTAAAGGAGACGTGTATAGCTTTGGAATTATCCTGCAAGAGGTGATTCTCCGAGGACCTCCCTTCTGCAATTCTGAAACACCTGCGGAAGGTGAGTAGACCTGTTACCGAACATTTTTTTTCAATAGATGCACGTGCGACCGGATTGCATGTGCTTCCAAGTCACCTGCCAGCTCCTCCGTGGTTCTTCCACTCCCATGCGATGGGCCGTCACTGGGCAAAATGACACGACAGCAGCATTTCTTCCACTGTAGAAACACAGCAATATTGAAACAGAGTGAGTCAGAAGGGGGTTCTTGGGGCATCTAGTCTGACCCCCGGCTCCTGCCAGCTCCACTCATAGCATGCCCACCATGTGCACGTCCAGCAGAGAAACATCACGGTTTGGTCCCAAAATGGAGCCCTTGAGAGGTATTCACCCAATATTGGAATGGCTAAGATAACGTTTCAAGATTTTGCAATATGTATATTCTTTGCTACTGCGCTTTTTAATAGATTCTGTGGTTTGCGAACGAAGGCTATTGTGCAGGCCTTTTGTGTCCAGCGTGTGATTTTACTGGTTAGTTTATTATGCTTTGTTAAATTATTGTATTTGTAACCCACCCAGAGAGCCATTTTGACTATGGGGCAGGAAAAACATCTAATACATAAAAAATACATAAATAAATAGCAACCGGCTGTACTGGCTGGGAGATGGGCTGAATTCTAGTACCATCTGAACGATGCCTTCCTAAGCTTTCTTCCGGGAGCGTAAAGGTGTGTGCTGTCGTAGCCATTCTGAGTAATTTATTATTTATTATTATTTATTAAAAGCTTTTGTATGCCATCCTTTATATAAATATCTCAGGACAGCTTAATGCTGAGAAATGTAGAACACTGTTGAACTTCCGGTTTCCTTTTTGAAGTTGCCTGTTTTTTCAGCGCTTTCTGGTCCTTCAGCACATGGCCCTAGTCATCCTGGGCTTCTAAATGTGTCTGAGGCGTTCGTATGTGCAAAAGGAAGGGCTGCCAATGAACCCCAGGCGATGTGGGGGTAAGGCTGTGGACACCCCCACCCCAGTCCTAAAAGAGGCACATGGATTTTATTAAACCCATTCTGCCTGCTTTGCATATAATCAGACATCTTCCATCCCATCTCCATGGAATCTGAAATGTTTTAGGTGCATCAGAATTTCATTCCACATCATGCATGTTAGTGCAAGAGCGAGTTAGCACTGAAAAGATGCAGAAATTCCAGCAAACTTTGCAAAATGGTCCACAGGCCACTGCGGAATTTGCAGGTCAGGTTCACAGAAACTGAAATTCATTTGAATTGGTGGGTTCTCCCCACATAGCCTGAAGTGTGTGATCCTGTGTAATCTTGGAAGCTAAGCAGCATCAGGCCTGGTTGGGATCTGGATGGGTGACTTAGAATGATATGAACCGCCCAGAGAGCTTCAGCTATGGGCAGTATAGAAATGTAACATAAATAATAATTTTAGCTGTTCCTTACTGCAAAAATTGTCTCCTAATCAGCACGTTAGTGGCATAGAATGATCTCTTCTCTTTGCCCCAGAAATTATTTGCAAGTTGAAGAAACCTCCACCCTTGTGCCGTCCAAACGTTGCCCCGGAAAACACCCCCTTGGAATGTATCCAGCTCATGAAGCAGTGCTGGAGTGAAGTACCAGACCGAAGACCGACCTTTGATGAGATCTTGGAGCGGGTCAGTACCTACCTGTGATGGTGCACAGTCCGTTCCCTGGGGGGGGGGGGGGGGGCTACAGTGCTTCATCCACTCCATGGGGAGGTGGGATGGGGTGCCCGTGGGTCCTCTACTTGAAGGTGTGCTCTGCCTGAAAGACGGGAATGGGAACTACGTGCACCTAACTTTATCTGGATACCCTCTGGAGAACCCTAAGAAGGGAAGACAGGAAGGGACCTTCATGTTGTCCATCAATGGTTAGCGTGTATTAATGGCCAGATGCTGAGGGGTTTGTTTTATTCCACTTATTTATTGTAAGCCGTTCCGAGATGTTCTGTAGGGGATGGGATAGAAAAGCTTTTAATAAATAAATAAATTAATAAACAAACTTCAAAGATGGCGAGGGAGCAACTTTCTCGGGGGCCATAGAAGGCTGAACCCCCTTACCTACCTTGTGCAGGCTCACAGTGGCCCATGCACCCCCCCCCCCCCGATCCCATGGCTTCTTTCCCCCATTCTTAAAAGCACACCTTCAACTAGAATTCTTTGCGTTCAGGTGAAGAATTCATGCAATTCCCAACATGTCTAGTTTAGACTTGGCTGGCTGGGTGATGAGAGTTATTTATCCGCTATTTCGAGACATATCCCACTATTTTTCCTTCCAAGTCAGTGTATGTCATCCTCCTCCTGCTCCTCTCAGTCTTACCCTCACAACAACAACCCTGTGAGGTAGGCTGGGCGGAGAGTCTGTGACTGGCCCAAAGGCACCCGGCTGGCTGGCTCCGTGGCCGAGCGGGGACTAGAATCCCTGTCCTGTGCTCCTAACCACGGCACCGTACTGGCTTTCCCACGTATTTGGGAGACACCAGGTTGGGGAAGGCTGGCCTGTTTCATATCTAGGGTACATGCTATGCAACTTTGGACAGAGAAAAGCCCTACAACTCTCAGTCCTACGCCAGGTCATTTTTCGCTGCAAATATGCATAAGGTCTGTGCCCTAAGACAGTGTCCTGACTCTTCAGTTTTGCTTCCGTTTCGAAAGAGCACTTAAAGAGGTCTTTTGGAACTGGGAAAATCAAGCGTTATTTGACAATTCCAAAGCAAAGTGCAAGTTTCCACTGGTGCAGTTGTGTTATTCCATTTTGTCACAGCGCCACCTAGAGGATCTGTAACAAAAGGCATGGAAAGTCAGGAAAGACAAATAACTTCATGTGGAGCTTGGATCTTAAATTTCCAACAAAACTGGAATTAGGGACAGAGGGTTAAACCAGGAAACCTCTATGCCTCTCTCCCATGAAGGGCCATCCCTTTGCAGGAACCTGTTTTTGGGTGACTGGGCCATGCTGGGATTTGTACGTTTTTTCCGTCTAAACTTGCATAGGATTGCACTTCAATTTTTCCATACTCCTCTGTACACTTTAGCACCTAAGCATCCATTTTTAATTCTCCCCGCTGCCCTCGGCTGCCCAGTTCAAAACCATCAACAGGGGCAAGAGGACGAATATCATCGACTCCATGCTGAAGATGTTGGAGCAGTATTCCAGCAACCTGGAGGAATTAATAAGGGAGCGGACCGAGGAGCTGGAGACAGAAAAGCAGAAGACGGAAAAGCTGCTCACCCAGATGCTTCCTCGGTAAGGAGCAGCACTGAAAGCACGTTCCAGCCGGACAGACACTCTGCTCCACTGGCTTTCCAGGGCATCAGCAAGCTCACAAGCCTTCCGCAGCTTGTGGGAGCCAGTGGAAAACACGGATCGGTGCTGCCTCGCGATCATTCACTCTTAGAGAGCATCTGGGTTGTCTGAACATTGCCTTGGCGCTCATCTTGTGCCCGATTCCTATGTGTGTTCGCAATCTCTGCTCGCTTCTTGCAAGCGGGAAACTTGCGCAAAGAGAGCAGTCCTCGGATGGGAGCTTTCTCTGCAAGAGTCAAACTGGGAATCCGGAAGGAGATGAGTGCAAGCCAGTGTCCACCAGTTTGCAGAACTTTTCGGCAGCAACACCCTCACACTCGTGCTCAGAGCCTTCGCTCATGTACTTTGTGCGCAAAAATGAAATGCTTATACATTTCTAGTCGCACATAATCTTGCATGTCTGTGTGTGCTGGGAATCACTGGTGTGCAGGGAAGGAGCATGCTTCCAGGTGAGACTTGTATCATTCCTTTGTTTTTTACAGAATATTATGGGGTGTGGATGTATGGAAATGTCCAGACAAGGTCACCTCCCTTCCTATGGCTTTGCATGGTTTCTTCTTTATTTTATTCATTACATTTCTGTGCCACCCAAGAGGTAAATCTGTCTAGGTGGTCCACAGCAATTAAAACCATAGACTTCATCATGAAATACGAGTATAAAAGTGAAAGCTTGAAACTACAGTATAAAATAGAAGGGAAAGCCAAAGCAAAACAGGAAGGGTCTGTTGTTCATCTCGTGGCTGGAGTGACATGAGCAATGGCTGAGATGTTACTTTTGGAGAAGCAGCCTTTGCGATTCTGCCCACCCGGGCTGAGTCCGAGCAACGAGGCTGGAGGACCTCCATGCCGGGACTCCAAAGAATGCAGTGCTTCCCCTTGAATCCGAGAGGCCATGAGAACGTAGCATAAAGGATTTAAAAGCACAGAGCTGGAAAGACTAAACTTCCTTAGAAACCCCTTGGGAAATAAGAAGGTCTTCACCTGGAGCCAGAAGGAACGCAAGGTAGGAACCTGGCGAGCTCCCTGGAAGTTCATTCCACTGCTGGGGTGCCACAGCAGAAAAGGCCCTGCATGTCTTCCATCCTTTGTCTCACTGAGCAAAGAGAAAAGACAGGGGGGCTTCACAAGGCCATTACGGGTGCTAGGTGGCCACGGTCTGGACCCCCCCCCCAGGGATCTCCAACAAAATGTTACAGTATGAAGTGCTTCTCTTCCAGTTCCCACCATCCACGGCCTTGTGTGTGACACCCCGTTCCATTCCGCTTTTGCTACCATTTCCATTCTTTCTCCTCAGGGATGTGGGTCAGCATTTTGCAGCTGTTGAAAATGCAACGTCCTCACCCAGTAGCTGGTTTTTCTTTCTCCTCCACTTTTACGCTTTTCACAGATTCATTCATTTATACATTTATGAGTTGCCTTTTAGCTCAAATAGGGCTGCCCAGGTGACGTACAGTTAAAACCTGCCTCCATTTTAACCCTGCCCCATTCAACCTTTCAAATATATTCGGAAACTTTAAAAGCAAGGTAAAGTTTCCAAAACACCTCCAACAGCAGAAACGGAGAGCAAGAGAGAGTCTTAAAATGAATAGCATGAAGGAATACGCAGTGTAGCCTTTTGCATGTTTGCTCAGAAGTAAACCTTACTAGATTCAATAGGTAAGTTTACATAAGATTGCAGGATCAAAATATGAATACCCCATATTCCAAGGGGACCTGGTTTCCACCGAGTTAACCTCTCTTAATGGGGGGACATGAAGGTTATTCAGAGAAGATTTTTAACTACAAGGAAGTTCCTACAGAACTTCAAAAGAGAGATCTACCTGTCCTTTTTCCAATCCTTGGACTTTCTAGTATCTACTAATATCTCCCTCTTGTCTGAGGATAACGGTTTTTTGCCGAGAAAAAGATCTGATCTCACCCTTCAGCTCCAGAAATACTTTCTGGTATAGGAATGTTTCTAATGGGATATTTTACTTTTTATCTGTTACATATGAAAAATCCCCTGAGGAGATTACATAATGATAAAACAATAAAGCGTAATACAAAACAACACAGGGATATGCCATTCTGACTGCATCTTTTAGTCCAAGGTGTACATGGTTCTCCCCACTGCACAATAACCCGGAGAGAATCGGACCCGACCACCCCACGGTACCCCTAAACGCTCCCGCTGCAGCCCTCATTGGAGGAGGCCTGGACTGACCCGCATGGGCCCTTTCAGGTCCGTGGCGGAAGCCCTGAAAAGCGGCGCTACGGTGGAGCCGGAGTATTTCGAAGAAGTCAGCATCTACTTCAGTGACATCATCGGCTTCACCACCATCTCTGCCCTCAGCGAGCCGATTGAGATCGTGGACCTGCTGAACGACCTGTACACGCTCTTCGACGCCATCATCGGGCACCACGATGTTTACAAGGTGAGGCCCCGCTCCACGGGCCCTGAGGCGGAGCAGCGCCCATGGGCCCTCCCCCCTCTCCCCGCCTGGCCCCACCGGGGCGTCCGCTGGGCGTGCTCTGGGGAGCGAGCATCCAGCACCTGTAGTTTGTTAGGCTTTTACATCCTGTTCATTCATACACAGCTCTCAGACTGAGGGACAATAAAATGCTAGCAAAGCAACCTGCACGTGTTGTTGTTAGTTGTGAAGTCGCGTCCAACCCATCACGACCCCACGGACAACACTCCTCCAGGCCTTCCTGTCCTCCACCATCCCTGGAGTCCACCCAAGCTCACACCCACCGCCCCAGTGACCCCATCCAGCCACCTCATCCTCTGCCGTCTTTTGCCATCTATTGTTCCCAGCATCAGGCTCTTCTCCAGTGAGTCCTTCCTTCTCATTAGGGGGCCAAAGTATTTGACTTCCATCTTCAGCATCTGGCCTTCCAAAGAGCAGTCAGGGTTGATCTCCTCTAGGACTGACCACTTTGATTGCCTTGCGGTCCAAGGGACTCGCAGAGTCTTCTCCAGCACCACAATCCAAAGGCCTCAATCCTTCAGTGCTCAGCCTTCCTTCTGGTCCAGCTTTCACAGCCATACATTGCAACTGGGAAAACCATCGCCTGGACTATACGCACTTTTGTTGGCAGGGTGATGTCTCTGCTTTTTAGTATGCTGTCTAGATTGGCCATAGCTTTCCTCCCCAGGAGCACGCGTCTTTTAATTTCTTGGCTGCAGTCCCCGTCTGTGGTGATCTTGGAGCCCAGGAAAATCAAATCTGAGCCCAGAAAAATAAAATCTACACTATCAAACAGCAATTAAAATCAGGGGCACCTGTCATTTCATTGCTATAGTAATTGTTATTTTTACTTGTATGTTGAGGTCTATTTTTATTTTTGTCACCTACCTGGGGAGACTTATAGTAATGCGGTGGGATAACAATCAAATAAATACATATAAATAGATGGACAGCCAGGAAAGAGGCACGGAGCGCTATGGGATGGATGCTGTTGAGGGGCTCCATGGCTAGACTGGTCTTGCCCCACTTGCTGCCCCCTGAGAATTGGACTCCAATGCCCATAGCTCCCAGCCAGTGCAGCTATCTGGGTCAGCTGCAGCAGGGGACTGGACCTGCTGGCCTTCATGGTCCCTCTAACCCTACAATTCCATGGTTTCATGATTTCACAATTCCACAATTCCACGGTTCCATGATTCCACAATTCCACGATTCCACAATTCCACAATTCCATGATTCCACAATTCCATAATTCCACGATTCCACAGTTCCATGATTCCATGGTTCCATGGTTCCATGATTCCATGATTCCACAATTCCATGATTCCACAATTCCATGATTCCATGATTCCACAGTTCCACGGTTCCACGATTCCACAATTCCATGGTTCCATGATTCCACAATTCCATGGTTCCATGGTTCCACAATTCCATGGTAAGTGGTTCATTGAGTCCAACCATTTGTAATTGCCCTCTGGGGGAATCTGTCTCCCCTGATTTCCAGGTGGAGACCATTGGCGATGCCTACATGGTAGCCTCGGGGCTGCCCAAGCGCAACGGGCACAGACACGCCGCCGAGACTGCCAACATGGCCCTCGACATCCTCAGCTCCGTGGGCTCCTTCCAAGTGAGGCACCTCCCCGGCGTGCCCATCCGGATACGGATTGGGCTGCACTCAGGTAACCTTGGCGACGAGGCAGGGGCATGTGCAGCTGCCTGGGTGAGGGACGCGTGGCCTCGCTGGGTACAAACTCCCATCAGCCCCAGCCAGCATGGCCAGTGGTCATCGAGGGTAGGAGCTGTAGTCCCCGGACTTCCAAAAGCCACTGGTACTCGACTCCTTTCATAGCCTATTGAGCAGCTGGGGAGCTGAGATCTTCTGCATCCATTACACGCCTGGATCGGAGGAGGGTCGCGGTGGCTGGAACAGCATCGCAGAAATGCCAGCGCGCATCGCGTGGGTTCCAGTGTTTCCGTCAGCTGCCGCACTTTCAAATCAGCAAGGGAGGCCTTCTCCTTGCGCACCTGTGAGAGCAGCTGGGTGGGCGATGACACAGGAAAGGGCCTTTTAAGTGGTGGCCCGCAGCTCCCGAATACATCGCCGTTGGAGGTTTGCAAGGCCACGTCAGCGCAGGCTTTTAAGAGGGCCCTGAGCCCATCGTGCGTCACGCCGGCCTTCCTCTGGTGATGCCTTGTGAGGCTGCAGGGCTCTGTTGTAAATTTTATGCTATCTATACTGGCGTTTGCTGTTCTTTAGCAGTGCCATTGGGATTTCTTGTACTGGTTTTGATTTTGCATCACTCCTTATTGCATGCTTCCTGGAAGAGCGAGATAAGACGCAGGGCGATCTCAGTAGGTTAGAACGCCAGGCAGAGAACGACAGAATGCAATTCAACAGGGACAAATGCCAAGTCCTCCACTTAGAAGCAAGAGACCAAATGCGCTGCTCTGAGTTGGGGCGCACTTGGCTCAACGAGGCTGCAAAGGTGAAGGACCTTGGGGTTGTTGCAGAGCTCAGTGTGAGCAAACCATGTGACGCAGCTGCAAAAAGGGCAAAGGCGATTTTGGGCTGCACTAGCAGAAGCATCCCTTCCAAAACACAGGAAGTGCTAATACCACTGTACTCGGCACTAGTCTGACCTCCCCTGGAGCCCTGGATCCAGTTCTGGGCACCTGGGTTTGAAAAAGATGCGGAAGAGCTAGAAAGGGTAGAGGGGGGCAACCAGGCTGATGCAGGGACTGGAGGCAAAGCCCAGTGAGGCGAGATTGGGAGAACTGGGCCTGCTCAGCCTCAGGAAGAGAAGACTGCGGGGCAGTGGGACAGCCCTCTGCAAGCACCTGAAAGGCTGCCACAAAGAGGAAGGACGAGATCTCTTCTCATCCACTCCAGAGTGCAGGAAACGCAATAATGGACTTAAAAGAACCCAGATTCAGACTAGTCACCAGGAAGGATTTCCTCACTGTCGGTGCAGTACAACAACCGGACCTGTTACCTGGGAAGCTGTGGGCTCTCCCTCGCTGGAGACATTCGAAAAGCATCTGGACAGCCCTCTGAGTGGGATGGTGTAAATTAGTGTCCTGCAGCTGCCGGGGGTGGACCGGATGGCCTTCTGCCTCTTCAGACTCTACCATTTTATGATTCTATATTTTCATGCTGTGCACTGCCTTGAGAAGGCTCCTACTCTGAAAGGTAGCCGAGAAATATTTTAGATAAATAAATTGGAATAATGCCCTCATCCCGCCCCGCATGCATGTTCAGGTTCAAGCGCTGATAAAGCTGAAAACGGTTCCTATATGCACCCTATCAAAATGTTTTGGTAATGTTTGTACAACGCACAACATGTTTGCACCCTACCAAATGTTGCTGCGCAGAGTGCTTTTGCGCAGGGTTCCACCCCATCACGCCTTCTTCAGTGATGCTCTGAAGGCGAAGGACACCCCCCCCCCCGCCCCGCATCCCACGCCTACAGAATATGTCAGTCTCCACTGTGGCGTTTCCGTTCTCTCCTTCCCCTTAAGCTGTTCCTTGATTTTTCTTTCTGTTTTGGTGCTTCTGTCCTCTTCGGGGTTGTCCCAGACCTTGCTGATGCCGCCCTCTTGTGGATGGAACCGGGCACAAGGGTCCGTGCTTGGAGGATGGGTTCCCCAGGTGGGAAAAGGGCCCTTCGCACCACTGAGCTATGGGCTTGTTAACGGAGAAGTCCGAATTCGGCTATCTGGCTGGGTGGGTGGAGAAGAGCGCAGGCGCCTTGGCTCCTCACCCCACAATCCCTTCCGCAGCCAATCTTTATCTTGCCAAGACAAGCAGCTGGACTCGGACGGCCATGCAGAACTGGGGGAGAGGTAGATTTCCTCCATGCGAAAGGGCCTGGGTGGGTTTGTTTGTCGAGACCCTGCATTTTTGGCAGTGTGCCACCCAGCACAGTTCCAAGTTTGTCTCTCTCCCAGGAATCCTGGGTGCGTGTTTCAGAAGATTAGCCTCGTTCACCTACCCAGCCCTCCTGGCAAGCTGCCACTGGTAAAGGAAAGTTTCAGGCGGACGAGGCAAGGTCTGGGTTCATGGAGGAGAAAGCTGAGCTGAAAGGTGGCTTGCAAAATCTTTCTTTTTGCTGGGAATCCTGTTGGCTGAGAGAGGCAGGCCGATCTAACCACCAGACCACACTGTCTCTGATAGTGCTTTGAAAATGCAAAATGATGTACGTCCTCATTAAATCGAATACTGGATTAATGTCTCCAATTTTTTACGTTTAAAAGAAAAGTTTATAGTAGAGCTCAGGTGTGGGATTTTTTGCTCCTTTGGAAAGGAATGGAACCTTACACAGGGATGAAGCTGCAGCCAAGTAAACATAGGTCATCTTGATGATTTTTAAAATTGGATTTCCAGACCAAAGAACTGGAGGTTGGGTGGTCTGTATCTTTGCCAGGAACTGCAAGGCATTTAACTGACTTTCTGCCATCAACTGGAACACATGTTTCTGCCTGACAGTTCGTCACCGGTTCAGTGAATAGTTGCTGTCTGCCTTTGACATCCCACGAAATCTGCCATCAGGATCTGATATTTGTAAATGGATAATTTGACACGGGGTACGAGTCGGAATCCAATACTGCCGAGTATTTAGCAGTATTTAATGGCTGGCTGATGTTCAGTGGCATGAACAGCCAAGGATGTTTAGCGGTTGACATGTTTGGCAGGGTGTCATGGCGGCCTCAGCCTGGGGGGCAAGGGATAGCAATCCCCCCCCCCAAGAAGGCAATAATTTTGCTGACATGCAAAAGTATTTGACAGTTTCCAGCAGCTGCTACAAAACCGGATTGGGGGGACTCCACGTTCAGTCCCAGGGTCTCCTAGCCTTGCCTGGGAGGCCCCACGATTCTTGGCACGGCGGTTCTGAAATTCTTTGACCTTGGAGCTGCGAGTCCCCCAAGGGAAGAACTGAGCCTGCTTTCCCCACCCAGGTCATGACTGGGCCTGGGAAGGGGAAGACGGAGGGGAAGGGGAGACTGGGTGTGGGGAGCAGAGCGGGGCGGTTCTCCTGAGAACTTCCGCTGATTTCTGCCAGCTCCCCAGCCTCCTGCACACTGCACCCCATTTTATCTAGGTGGCTGGAAAGAGCCTTCTGTACCAAAGGCCAGGTGTGGGGTGTGCTGGCGTTTTTCGTGACTGCACCTTCTTTCAGGTGAAGGATGCGTGCATGTGCCAGAGGTTTCTATGCACCAAGAGCTGGGGGTGTAGGATTGTGCTGTTATTGTCAAGTCGCCAACATGGAACCGTGTCCACTCTTTGACAGCTCAGAACATCTGACATTTTATGTGATTTGCTTTAATGTGATGGTTTGTGATTTTTTAACCACCTTTGGTGCTAGGTGGAAAGGTGGGATGGAGGAAATCTGAATAATAGCAGGAAAGCAATGAGAAAAGTCAATAGGGAAAGAGGGCAAGAAATCTGAATAACAGCAGGGGAGCATTGAGAAAAGTCAATAAGGAAAGAGGGCAAGAAATCTGAATAACAGCAGGAGAGCATTGAGAAAAGTCAATAAGGAAAGAGGGCAAGAAATCTGAATAACAGCAGGAGAGTATTGAGAAAAGTCAATAAGGAAAGAGGGCAACTTGGCACTGCATCTAACGGGATTATGTTGCAGGAACGGAAGTGTCAGCTGAACACCAGGAGAAATGTCTGATGGCAAGGACAATCCCACAACAGCCTGCGTGGGCCTGCGAAAAGGAACACTCATCCCAAAAAGCTTACCTGTAGCTAAGAGGGCCATTTTTTGGGTTCCCATCAATGACAGATTTCCTAGGAATTTCAACCTGTGTTCCGGGCTGCTTTTGTGCGATTCGTCTAGTCTGGGATGGCATTGTGGGATGAGATTTTGCATACTGCAGAACAGCACTTGTCCTACTATATGAAAAGTAGTTTCTTTCCTTATAGTGTTTATTTTTATTTGTATTATTGTTCTGGTTATGGTTCATATTGATTTGGGTTTTTCCATGCTAATACTTTTGGATCCCTCTGTGTGTGTCTCTATGTGCTTGAAAAATGCTTCAAAGCTATTTTTGTGGCTGGGAGAAGTGCAAACATGGTGGTGGGACGTTGATGATGATGATGAGGAGGAGGAGGATGGAGGAGGAGGAGACAAGAATTCTAAGTTACAGAGAACAATCCTGTAACCCATAGACCAGGGATCCTCAAACTTTTTCAGCAGGGGGCCAGTTGAAAGGTGCTGGTGCCAGGTGCAGGCCAGAAAGGTGGGCTGGCGGTGCACACAGCCATTGAGGGGGTGGGGGCGGTGTGTGCGGCCCGTGCGCTGAGGCGGGGGCAGGGTGCGTGGCGAGGACTGGGTGGGTGGGCAGGCACGCGTGGTGAGGGGAGGGGAGGCAGGCGCGTGAGGCAGCAGCTTGCTCACTTGGAGATGGTTTTTGCCAAGCAAGCAAACTGCTGCCTCCCTGCGCACGGGGCGAGACGGGCGCGGGCACGGCGGGCCCAAATGGCATGGTGGGCTGGATCTGGCCCCGGGCCTGAGCTTGAGGTCCCATGCCACAGACCGTGGCTGAGTTCACATGCCACAGCAAGCAGCCCTGCCTGGCTTCCACACCCTGTGTGGGTTTCTTCCCTGTCTCGTCCTGACAGTCCTGTTGCTTCCATGCTGGTGTGGCTTCCATTCTCCCCACTCACTCCTCCTACGGGTGGCATGCATCCCATCAGCCAGCATGCCTGTGCGTCAACGCTACACTGGATGGCTAGAGTGGCCCCTGCTGCCTCTGCCACTCTTTCCAGGGAACTCTGTGGTGGCTGCATGCTAGGACCACGGAATCCACGTCGCTGAGTTCAGATGACCATAAAAACCATGGTGGAAACCACGGTGCAGACCACTGTTTCTGCTCATTGCTTCTAAATCCAAACGTATAATGCTAAACTGCTCCAACAGGGTTTGGATCACACGATGGACCATCCTGAGTGAGAAAGCACCATGGCTTGCTGTGTCTTGCAAACCCACTGGCATCTGGGTGTCCGGAGGACTTTTCAGGGTGCCACGTCCAATGGTGGGAAACCGCTCTGCTATCAGGGCCGGAACTCTGTGCTCAGCAAGCACCAGCACACGCAAGCTCTGCTGGCATGAAAGACCCTCCTGCGTGTTTCTCTGACGCCGGGAAAGCAAGCTTGGAGGAGGGGGCAATGCCAACTGGCACTGCCGAGGTATGGGGTATCCTGCCGCTGCCTCAGCCCCTTCTCTCCACATCCGAAGTGCCCCTCTTACATGGCTGAAGCCACCCATCTCGCTGCTTTGCGAGGGGGAAGCAGTGCAGCCCCCACCTTCCCTGTCACACTTTTCCGGCCTGTGTAGTTTGGAGGGTTACAGGCATCCACATCACACTGCACCCTGACGCACACATTTCTGGAACAAATCTTCACTTCCAACGTGTGAGCCCCGAAATCTGAAGGCACCACACTCCTGCCTCTTTGCAAATATCTGCCTTGGCTTTTGTGAGCAGCCTGTTGACAGAATATCTCTTCTTTTCGCTTCCCCCTTTTCCCCAGGCCCGTGTGCTGCAGGGGTGGTGGGGCTCATCATGCCCCGGTACTGCCTCTTTGGGGACACAGTGAATACAGCTTCCCGGATAGAATCCACGGGCTTACGTAAGTATTCCATGGAATTTTGGGCAGTCGTTTTGGGGAGCTTTCTTGCAAAAAATGGGGAAAGTGGGCTGCTTGTTCGTTTGTTCCCCTTTGTGGCCCTGTTTCTTCCACCAGCTGTTGCTCAAGGTGCTGACAATGTCACACAGATACAAAAGCATGTAATGTTGTGCAATGAAGTAGCAATGAATGCAGAGTTAACCCCGCCCCCTGCAGAACCCTAATTTTTTTTAGGCATCTGTCAAATTCTGCACCCCCCCCCGCCCGGTCTGTTTGTTTTTAATTATGGTTTAGAATGGTTTAAACTGGTGTTGATGTTTTTGTTATTTTTTTAAAATAAAGGGGTTACCTTTTCATGCATTGTAATTGTATCTTTGGATATATGCTATGATTTAGTGATACTTACAAATATGTTCAGCAGGACAGAAATGCATTAAATAAAATATGAATAAATAGAACAAGTCAGACCAGCCCCACATGGGTCCCTTTCCTCTGTGACTTGGCCTTTTCACCATTAGATAATGAAAACAGATGCACTTGCTTCCAGTGACTGGGGCTGGGGGGGTGGGGCGAGGTGTGTGGCATTCCTAGAGATGTGAGACGGCCCAGGAAAAACCCGGAAAAAAAGGGAGCTGGGAGTGAGGAATGAGAAAAAATGTGGGAAGTGCCACCCCCATTTTTTCCCCAAAAGAATTTTTGGAAAATTCACAGATGAGGATACTTTCCTCCTTTTTTGTTAAATTTTGCATTTGAGCCTGGATGATCGCATCATCCAAACCCAGCCGGGATGTTTTTCAAAGATATACCCAAAAAATTATTTACAAAGAGCTCATGTGTTGGAGAGATCCATGGATACCTTCTTTTTAAATCTCAGCATTTCGAATTCACATCAGCCAAAGCACAATGAAAACACTCCGGAATCTAAATGAAGGGTATAAAATGGATTTCAGGGGGAAGACTGAACTAAAGGTAAGTTCCCTGGGTGGCTTTGGACCAGTCACTCTCAGCCGAACCTACCTCACAGGGCTGTTGTGACAGTAAAAATGGGGTGGAGGAGATCTTTGTAAGCTGCCTGGGAGTTCCTTGAAAGAGGAAAAAAGGCAGCGTAGATAATGCTATAATCATAATAATCGCTCCGGAAGGTTACTTCCAAATAGGCATAAGTCGGAATGCAGCTGGTCTCCTGAGGATGACTCAGAATAAGTCATGTCTGGGTTCAGGGGACACCATGACACATTGTGGGTAGAAGAACCCCTAGAATAAGCCATGGCTTGTTTGGGAAGCTTACAAGCCCAATGTAAGCCATTCCGGCAAAACCACGGAGGGTTCAGATGATAGGCTAACCCACCGTTAGCCACGATGGCTTAGTGAGTTGGTGTGAACCCGGTTGCTCCCTGTGTTGTAGGGCAGAGATGCAGAACCTCTTTCAACTGAGGGCCGGATTCCACTGGGGAGATGCTCTCTGGGGCCACATTCCAGTGGTGGGTGGAGCCAAAGACAAAGGGGCCGGGCCAAACTGTCTGAGGATTGCACCTTATGGGTCCTAGTGCCAGTCACTAAACCTCAGCCGAGGTGTTCCAGCCATTTAGAAAGGGAGTCACAATGGCAGAAAAGCTGGGGCGCCAACCAATGGTTGGAGCTTGGGGAATGGGGCTGGGGGCAGGGAAGGGGGCATGGGTGGATTTGGTCTGCAGGCCTGAGGCCCTGCGACCTTGTAATAGGGTTGGATGGCTTCCGCCAGCATGGCGCCCCCCATCGCTCGTCCCAGAAGTCACCTTGACTTGGGGAGCATTTTCAGATGGGACGTAACGGCTGCTGTATGAGCTGCTGGTCTCACTGAGGAAGGCTCCCAAGCATGATGGGAGCCAAAGGCCCAGCAAACACCTCTTTGCCACGAGACCCCTGCGGAGGGATGACTGCACTGGACAGATTTTGCAAAATTGCATCCGCGTTTTGGAGCATTTCAGGCGCTTGACAAGCTTCCGTTTCTGTGTCGGTAGGGCAAAGGCTTGGAAGATACATACTGGCTAGTAGGAAAGAAGGGCTTCATGAAGCCACTGCCGTGCACGCCTGAAGTGAAACCGGGGTGAGTAGGGCTGAGAGCTTCAAGGGGCTACATGGATGCAATTCCTGGAATGACAAGGTGGATCGAAAAGTATGCGAAAGTAAAATCTCCCTGCAGATTACACATTTGCACGGTAATTCTCTCTGCTTGGACTGGGAGGTCCTTGCGAGCCCGACAAGGTTACTCTTGAGTTTCCTTTAGAGGAGGCCAGGAGTTCGCTGAAATGTTTGGGATGGCACTGGTCAGATCAGGTCAGTTACGGCCTCCCCTCCAAGAAGAGAGAAGTGCATTTCTCACTACGCCCACGTCTGGACTATGACACGTCAGCCCAGGAGTGTTGAACTGCTTCCAACGCAAGAGTTGAATCCGATTTTGGAGATGCTTTTGGGACAGGTATCCCAGTGGTGGGAGAGGCGAAAAAGGGGCAGGGTCAGAACATTACAGAAGCACCAGCAGAATCCATCTTAAAGCCCTCATGGCCATTAACCAAACCTTAGCAGAGACATTTCAGCATCGTAAAATGGGGAAAAACTCTAAAAGCATTGGCAGCCAGGAAAAAGGAAATGAGGCTGGAGGAATGGGGATGGTCCCCTAGGACCAGAGGGCCTGGTTTAGTTCACAAGACTGAACTTCAACATTGGTTGTTGTTTAGTTGCAAAGTTGTGCCCGACCCACCCCTTGGAATCCACCCAAGCCCACACCCACCACCCCAGTGACCCCATCCAGCCACCTCATCCTCTGCTGTCCCCTCCTTCTTTTGCCCTCAATCCTTCCCAGCATTAGGCTCTTCTCCAGGGAGTCCTTCCTTCTCATGAGGTGGCCAAAGTATTTGAGTTTCATCTTCAGGATCTGGCCTTCTAAAGAGCAGTCAGGGTTGATCTCCTCTAGGACTGATCGGTTTGATCGCCTTGCGGTCCAAGGGACTCGCAGAGTCTCCTCCAGCACCACAATCCAATGGCCTCAATTCTTAGACGCTCAGCCTTCCTTCTGGTCCAGCTTTCACAGCCATACATTGCAACTGGGAAAACCATCGCCTGGACTATCCGCACTTTTTCTGGCAGGGTGATGTCTCTGCTTTTTAGTATGCTGTCTAGACTTGCCATAGCTTACATACCTAACCCTAATTTATAGGACTGGCCCTACTTTATTAATACTACTACTATTATTATTATTTACATTTTTACAAATTCTACAATTCTTGAGGCAACAGGTGGGCAACAGAATGTTATTTGAGACAAATAAAATAAAATTAAAACCTTCACACTCTGCAACCCAGCATGCCACAAAGAAGGGTCCTATCCTAGGTTTCTCCCTGACTTGCTGGATTTTTAGATCCGGGGTGTGCGTGTTTTTCTGTTTGTTTATTTATTCATTTAAAGTTTTTATATGCCACCCCATCACTAAAAGTCTCTGGATGGCTTACAAAGAACAAAAGGGCATTTGATCTCATGTGTGGATATTCTGACACACTTCTGGGCAGCCATGAGTCCGATCCCTTGCGGAAAAGCCCTGGGAATGAAGCAGAAAGATGGAAAATGAGAGAAAGAGAGGGAGAAGAGGGGAGTTAAGGAGTGGAGCATAAAGAGCAGATACATTCAATGTGGGTCGGAGGCTGCAGCCTAGGTGAAAAGGTGAGTCTCGGGTCTGGGGAGCTTGCAGGCTGTGAATCCACTGGCCCAAAAGCAGATTTGCAAAAGCTCCAGGGAAGCTCCCAGGATCTGGAAAGACTCTTAAAAGTATTGGCAGCATTTGACCTCCCATGTCTGCAGCGAGAGGAATTACAGATCTCGCGGACCTCAAAAGGTTTATTTATGGCTTTAGCATTGAGCTTGACACTGAGGGAGTCCAGGTCTCTGAAGAAGTCAAGAAGGACCCTCTTTCTCAGGCTATTTTTTGTGGAAGACTGGTGTGGGGGGGGGGGGGGTCCATTTGAGCAATGTAATCCCTGCAGAGAAGGGAGAATAAAAGATGTTTAGACTACAGCAATGGGTAATGCGATGGGAAACGTTCATTTCCTAAAAGGTTAACCCATTTCTCCCCTCTTTTCCATTTAATTTCACAGACTTTTCTAGTTTTCCATACTGGCCTCCACCGTTGTCCTTCAAGATTTTCCCCTCTTGCCTCTGGTGGTGGTTGTAGCAGCAAGATTCAGTTCTATGTTTGTTCCTGAAGGCTGCCATTTTGTTTACCCAGAATGCTTAGCCCATTTTGTCCTTCTGGGGCATTCTGGGTGAAAATGGCAGCCACCACAAACAAAAGATGACCTCCAGGGGGCGCTCACAAACTTTCCCCTGGAACTTTTCCCCAGAAGAGGACAGTGTCCAGAGCATTTGGACATGGGGACATGGTCTTCCATTCTAGGGAATCCTCAGAGTTCAAGGGATGTTGAACATTTCGAAACAGTTCTTGTGGCTCTTGTCTCAGTGGTGGACAGGGGCAAAGATGCCAGCTCATTTTAGTGGAAAGCTCATGTTGCCATCACTAACTCTTAGGAGAACCAATTCAACCTTTTAGAATGGAGTGGGGAAAATGCCACAAAAGCTGGGACATGGCCAGACAATTGCTGGTTGGGGGGAAAGGGGTGGAACCGGGGGAGAGAGCAAGGAATCCGGAGGGTAGAGATGACCCCCTCGTGTGAAACTGCACCCCTGCGAAGTCTCATCTAAACCTTCTTACTGATGTTTGAGAGAGCCGCTTCCATCCCATCAACCCACCCAGTAACTGGGGCCATTGGAGAGCAAGTTTCTAGTGATTCAGTCTGGAACTAGGTCCAGTCAACCTGGAGAAAAACCTCCTGCTCCCTTTTCTGGCACTTCTTGACTGTGCTGTCCATGCAGCCTGCAGCATGATGTTCTTCTGGTGCTCCACAAACCATCTTTATTCAAGCTGGCTCCTTTCCTTTGGTTGCCCAGCCACAGTTCCGATGGATATTCTGTTTCCGCTTGTTTTCCCAAAAACTTTCGATGAAGTATTTTTTCTTAGATAGTTGACCACCCTGGAACCTGGTTTGATGTGTGACAGTAAGCAAAGGTTTGAAAGCAACTAATGCTGTCCCATTGCTCTTCCCTGTTTGCAGGCAGCCTTGGCAAGACATCGTTGCTCAAGAAATCAAAGCTGCTTTGAGGCACTCTAAGGGAAAACTCACTGGTAGGCGCAGCAAAGATCACTAAACTGGCAAAGGGACAAGCACAAAAGGAAAGGATCCACCATGCAATGAACGGATGTTGCTTTAAAACTGGAACGGTGGATCATCAGATTTAAAAGTGCATCGTTCTGTTCTGTTTTATACTGAGATCTGGTCCATCACACAGCATGCATCACTTTTATGTTTGGTTCCACGTAGCTACTGCATGCGCAGGTTTTTAAAATCTGTCCTCCGGAGTCTGTCTTTCTGTTGTCTGTTCATCCACAGAATCGGATTCCCTGTCGCTGTAAGATTTATGCAACTTCACTGGCCTTTGACAGGGATCTGTATTTTACTTAGCTCTGAGTACAATCAATACATGCAATTGCACAGTAGATGTTCTTTACAGCTGAGGAAAGACCAAACTTTTACACAACAGGGTGTGTGCGCATTGCTGTATATATTAGGGTATTTTCCAGTAGCATTCATATTTTCTCATGGCTAAATTTGTGTGCCTATCTGGAAGGTTAAGAAAAGGTCTCCAAGCTCGTGGAATCCACACAACGAATAAGGAGTTGGTCTGCTGTGGAATCCACAGGTCAAATTTGCAGAAATTCAAAGTCATTTCAGATGCCTTCAGGATCCCCAACTACTGGGAAATAATTTTACAGAACTACAACGGAAAGAAATGCAGGGAATTCTCTCTTCTGGGGAAGGCGTTAGGTTTCCCGGGTGGGAGAAATATTATACAGGGCATGGCAGAGTGACATGGATGAATCGAACATTGTGGCTTTGCTCAGTTGCTCGTTTTTTCCAACCTTATGTTCACTTTCTCTTGTTTCCACTTCTTTGTGCAACTTGTTTTCCATGGCCGCGTGATGATTCACAGTTTTGTAGGCAATTATACCTAATAAACACCATTTTTTGCAAGCAGTTTTCCTAAGAGTACTTTTCTATCAGTTTTCCGTAGCGTACACATTTTTGTACGCATTTCTTGCTTTGAAAATTGCACGGGTGTGAACCAAATGAGTAGCTCCCTTGCTCCCTGGAAGTATGGGCCACTCTCCTGACGACTTTCGTGCCTTGGTTTCCCTCAGGTGTTAACACCTGTGGCTGGCTGTATCACACGCGACGGAGGATGGAGGCTCACACACCGAATGTTCCTCCAGACAAATGCAAGGCCGAATCGAGCCTTAGAACTCCCCTCTCTAAGTGCTCTTCTGCTCTGTGGAAGCCCATCTGCTCAGCAAGGCCTGCACACTGGGGCCAGAGTTCAAGGCTGGGTTCCCAGTTGCCCTGAGAGTAGCAGGGGGTGAAGAGCGGGAGAAGAGGCCTGGTGGTATCTGAGTGGGCAGACTATGGCCCACCAGGATGGAGAACGCTTCTCTTCCACTTCCTCTTCCTCCTGAGGCAGGGAACAGTTGGCCAAGCATGTACATAGTTAGAGATGCTCATTTTATGCACATGATCTGTGCATTTATTGCATTTATTTATTATAGTTTATGCCACCCTTTTTCCTGTCAAGGAACTCAAGGCAGCTTACTTATCCCCACAGCAACAACAACCCTGTGAGGTAGGTTGGGCTAAGACTCTGGGACTGGCCCAAAGTCACCCAGGGAGCTCCATGGCTGAGGGGGAAATAGAACCCAGATCCCCCGAGCCCCAACACCACACTGGCTCTTCTTCTGTGTCCCCTTCCCTTATGCAACCCTGGCCAACCTCCGAGATCGCCAGAGGAAGCGCCACTACGGCACGTCACTGCCTAATTCCTCCATGGCTGACCTTCTCGGTGGTCATGCCCACCCTTGGGAAAATCCTCCCCCACGCAGTTCAGGGGGCAGAAAATGTGGCATGCTTCAAATGCTCCAGCCTATCTGGCTGGGGATGCTGGGAATTGTACA